CCCCGGCCCCGGCCACGGCCCCGAACCGCCCTTCCCCGGGCGGGAACTCTCCCGGAGCCCGGCCCCGCCGCCATGGCGTCACCCTCCTCCCTCTCCTGACGTCGGGTTGGATGCCACTCACGCACCGATGGTGGAGATGTAGGTGCTGGTGAAGTTGTCCTCGGCGAAGCGGATGATGAGGCAGGTCTTGCCGACGCCGCTGTCCCCGATGAGCAGCAGCTTGAAGAGATGGTCGTAGGCCTTGGCCATGGCCCCCACCCGCCCGCCACCACCGCCACCACCGGGACCCGGCCCCGGCCCCGGCCACGGCCCCGAACCGCCCTTCCCCGGGCGGGAACTCTCCCGGAGCCCGGCCCCGCCGCCATGGCGTCACCCTCCTCCCTCTCCTGACGTAACGGCAGCGAGCAGCCTACGTCACGACTCCCGGCCGCCGCCCCTCTTTGAGGTGGCGACCTTCCCAAGATGGCCGCCACACAGTGGCATTCTCCCCCTTCGGCGACCTTCCCAAGATGGCCGCCACGCATTCCTCCGCAGCGCCCTTCCCAAGATGGCCGCCGCGCATTCCTCCACTACCTCAGGTTGCCCCGAAAAGCTGTGGCTGCCCCATCCAAGGGCAGGTTGGAGGGGTTTGGAGCAACCTGGATGGTGGGAGATGTCCCACCGCGTTGGAATTTGATGAAATTTAAGGTCCCTCCCACCCTTAACCGCTCTATGATTATGTGACCTTCCTAAGATGGCCGCCGCGCATTCCTCCGCAGCGCCCTTCCCAAGATGGCCGCCGCGCATTCCTCCGCAGCGCCCTTCCCAAGATGCCCGCCGCACATTCCTCCACTGGCCCAGGTTGCCCCGAAAAGCTGTGGCTGCCCCATCCGAGGGCAGGTTGGAGGGGGTTTGGATCAACCTGGATGGTGGGAGGTGGCCTTTCCCAGAGCAGCGTGTTGGAATTTGATGAAATTGGGGGGGTTTTGATCAACCTGAATGGTGGGAGGTCGCCCTTCCCAGAGCAGCGTGTTGGAATTTGATGAATTTTAAGGTCTCTTCCAACCGTCTGTGACCTTCCCAATATGGCCGCCGCCCACCCTCCCCTCAGCGCCCTTCCCAAGATGGCCGCCACACATTCCTCCACTGGCCCAGGTTGCCCCGAAAAGCTGTGGCTGCCCCATCCAAGCCCAGGATGGAGGGGTTTGGAGCAACCTGGATGGTGGGAGGTGGCCCTTCCCAGAGCATCGTGTTGGAATTTGATGAATTTTAAGGTCTCTTCCAACCGTCTGTGACCTTCCCAATATGGCCGCCGCCCGCCCTCCCCTCAGCGCCCTTCCCAAGATGGCCGCCGCGCATTCCTCCACTACCCCAGGTTGCCCCGAAAAGCTGTGGCTGCCCCATCTGAGGCCAGGTTGGAGGGGGTTTGGAGCAACCTGGATGGTGGGAGATGTCCCTGCCCAGGGCAGCGCGTTGGAATTTGATGATCTTTAAGGTCCCTTCCACCCTCAACCGCTCTATGAGTCTGTGACCTTCCCAAGATGGCCGCCGCCCGCCCTCCCCTCAGCGCCCTTCCCAAGATGGCCGCCGCACATTCCTCCACTGGCCCAGGTTGCCCAGAGAAGTTATGGCCTCCCCATCCCTGGAAGTGTTTAAAGCCAGGCTGGGTGGGGCTTTGAGCAACCTTTTCGAGCGGGAGGTTTCCCTTCCCAGGGCAGAGAGGTTGGAACTCGATGATCTTGAAGGTCCCTTCCAACACAAACCGCGCTACGCTTCTGTGACCTTCCCAATATGGCCGCCACCCGCCCTCCCCGTCAGCGCCCTTCCCAACATGGCGCCACCCCCACTTCCGCCCTCGCGGGGGGAACCCCGTAGCGGATATAGCGCCTCCCGCTTCCGGTGAGGCCCCTTTTCGGTCGCGGCTGCCTCCACGCCAACATGCCCGTGAGTGCGGCCCCGCGTCCCGCGTCCTTCCCGGGCCCCCGGCGAACCCCCAACCGCCGCCATACGGGAGGGAAGAGGGTTGGAGGGTAGCGGGGGAAGGCGGCGGGGCCGAGGGGTAGGCCCTGCCCGCCGCCATCTCCGCGGTTGGGGTGTGTGGGGTCCCCCCCTCAAGATGGCGGCGGGCGCTGACTAGGCCTCTGTGTCGTCTTGTGTGTGTGTGTGTGTGTGTGTCCCTTTAACGCTCTCCACAGCTGGCGAAGGACTTGCTGCACCCTTCCCCTGAGGAGGAGAAGAGGAAGCACAAGAAGAAGCGGCTGGTCCAGAGCCCGAATTCCTACTTTATGGACGTCAAGTGCCCGGGTATGGTGGCGGTGAGGGGAGGTGGGATGGAAAAGGGGGGCCCCCCAACACATAAACCGGCTCCCGGTGTCGTCCCCCCCCTCATTCCCCCCCTTTTCCCTTCTCCCCGCAGGTTGTTACAAGATCACGACGGTGTTTAGCCACGCTCAGACCGTCGTGTTGTGCGTGGGGTGCTCCACCGTGCTCTGCCAGCCCACGGGGGGCAAGGCCAGGCTGACAGAAGGTGGGTAATTCCCCCCCCCCGGGGGGGTATCTCTGTGTGTGGGGGGGTCTGTGTGTGTCTTATGGTCCCCCCCATCCCCTTGGGAAGCTCCCTCAGCTCTTTGAACCCCAGGTGGCTTGTGGAGACGTGGATTTTTTTCATCTGGAAGATGATAAACCTCACTTAGTTCTGAGCATTGGAATTGGGGGGGGGG